AAAGAGTGTCTCATGTAGGAATTAACTTGTATATGTATATACCTTATATATAGCTTTGTTATCATGCGTAGTACATTCTACCATTATTATTGTGCACAATCCTAAGCATATAAATATAAAAAGAGGGCTGATATCATTGTTCGCATCTATGACTATTCATGCAAACCTATCTCTTGATTATTCATTGACCAAGTGGTCAAGAGTCATCATAATACAAATAGAAAATTACTTTCTATGCATGCCTGGATTCAAAGATTACTGTCTTTTTCATTAATAGTTCTTTTGCGTTTCGCCAGCAATCCTTCTCTTATACATTTCGTCCCAGCACTTGCACGTTCATTCATTTTGAGTCATTGCAGAAATGAGATTATCCGCCTACGGCGAAGCGGCACCTTATCTAGTTGATAGTGATAGTCTTATTGATGTGAAGAGAAAGGGGGGGAGAGAGAGCACCCTATCTAGGTGATGATTGTGGGGGCATTTATTGTTGATAACTCAATCCAAGAAATTAGCTTAAAAAGATTGATCCTTTCTTAATTTTTAGAATTGTGATTTAAAAACCACTATTTAGAAAATTTTATTAAATTCTTTTTAATATCAAAGTATCATAATTATAAGAATTAAATTAGGATATTCAAAAACTCAACCAAGTCAATCTAAAAAATAATACTAGAAATGCTGTCAATTTTTGTAATACTTGTTTTTTTATTAACATAGCTTAGTTTCGAGTTGGTGAGTTGATCTGTCAAGTCTGGTTGAATTTTGAAACTAGATTTTATATACCATATTAATTAATGGATGTGTTTTTAAAATTGTCAAAGAAATGAGAATTTTGAGTGATAGGTAAAAACCAGTATAAAAACATCTCATATCTTTGAATTAAGAAAATATATTTATATATTAAAAAAAACATGATTATTCTAAAAAAAATTCCAGTTTTAAATATGACTACCAAATAAAGGAAAAGAAAACCATATAATTTAAATTCATCAATTCATAAATTACAACTGTAAAGACATACAGCACATGTTCTGTTATTTTTCAGTAGAAAAATGTCTCTCATCAAGTACACCATGAATGAAGGCAATTTCCTTAGGCATGGAATTAAGATACATATAGAACTTAAAACTATGCAATCAGCGAGCTACTCATCATTAATTCTCCAAAGCACCAATGGCTTGAGCAGTACCCAAGTGGTAAAAAAAAGTGCTGATAAGAAAGATCATCATAATATTCTTCGAGTCAAAAAGAGCTAGCTAAAAGCTTCTGTACGGCTCAAAACATGTCCAGCCTTCACTTTGAATTCGGAAAAAGTGCGTTCGAAGAAAGGTTTTGAAGCCAAAATGACATGATACATGATGACATAGAGAAGTAGAGCAAAACCCAGCTCAGACTTTTCCTCTGGAGGCATTTTAAACCGAGAAACAAAAGATTGCAGATCAATGACAGCAATAGAGAGGGAGAACGCAAGTAATACGGCATGCAAGATGGTAAATTAGATAATAGCTAGTACTGCAGAAGCAATGAAACATCCATGCACAGAGGAGTGCAAGGAGGATTAGGTCCAAGTTAGGCTCCATCACTAGTAATGTGTTGGATATTGTGAAAAAGAGAAAGCTAGCTAGGTAGGATTACCGGGGAAAGCTTATGCATCAGAGGAAGAAGAGATGGAATGAAGTAAGTGGCACTCATTCTATTCTGTTACAAAAAGATATCTCAAGTGATATTTTCCTATCAAACCCCAAAAAAAAAAAAATAGAGAGAGTATATATAGAGAGAGAGAAAGGAACATGACCTTAGAATAGCTTGCGAGAAGCAAAATTATCAGGACATACAAACGACCTGTAGTCCGAATCATAAGTGCTAGGAATAAAAGGATACACACGTCGACAGCAGGATTCGAACCTGCGCAGGCACAGCCCAACAGATTTCGAGTCTGTCTCCTTAACCACTCGGACATATCGACGGTCTCCTGAGTGTTTTCTATTATATTTTATTTATCCTTGATCTCCCTTTCTTATATATCCATTTGCAACGCAGCGTAGCATTTAAGTTTTCGCAGAACGGTTTAATAGCTAGAGCTGTCACTTGGTCTCGCCATAAGAGCAATGAGCCTGTTGGTCAATTCCATTTTTTTTTTCACAGCTGCATTTTCTAAAGTTGCTTCCACAGCTCCTTCCATGATCACTCTCTTTGATGGCAATCCAGGAAGGAATAGGGAAGCTCATTGCATCAGCGGTATCACTGCGTGTATAGAAAAAGAAAACTTGGGGGGAAGCCTATACAATGGATGAGACACAGACAAGTACCAAGTAGATTTTCCAAAATTGCTTTGAGTTTTACACACAGGATACCTTTGACGTTAAAACAATATAAAAAATGTTGGTGCCAAGCTTGAACTTGAGGGTGGTTTACAATTTTAACCACCCTTTTCCCAAGTAATAAAAAATTTAGCCAGTTTGCTTGGAAAGAGCAGCAACACTGAAAATGGACAAATGATACGACTGTACAAAAGCAATGTTTAAACAGTGCTGCTGCCTATACTCTGATGTACTGGGTAAAATATCAGGCAGTGGTATCCAAGGCCATTCCAAGCATCCGTCTGTCCAAATAACTGGTTTCACCCATGAGCAGGAAGATCTGTGATTCTGGATGCATCCCTCCTACCGTGCCTACATTTAACACGAAAAGTTAGTGGGAGAGAGATAGAAGAAATACCGAGAAATAAATCATAAAGGCGTGATGTGGTAGCTCAATGTTACATGATCAATGTTACATGATACATTTTGTTTCTTGAATAAGATGTCTGCGCATCTCATGAGAGAAACCAGTTCTATCCTATTTTGCACAGAACTTGAAATGCCACATGGCATAAGTAAAATCAAAGAACTGCTCCCCACAGGCTATTAGTAAGCAGGAAATTGATTCCAGCCGAGGCTTGTTAATAACCAATTGGAGGGGACATACTCCCTAGAATGTGAAATGACGCCAATTGGAGGGACATACTCCCTAGAATGTGAAATGACGAGTCTAATTGTAAACGAGAATCGGTTAGTTTCATGAAGCATATGAGTATGCCTCATACGTTTCAAATAGAAAAGAACCCAATTAATTGGCAAGAGATGGTGAATTAAAGACAAACATCTTGGAAACTGAGCTACCTTAACTGTCCAAATGGACTCGTTTCAAAGCAAGAATTTCATGCAGCCTGGGTGATGACATCCATATTACCATCAAGGAACCACTTAGGAGGATACAAGGAATTAGATGATTGAAGCTGCAGAAGCCAGACCTTGACTCTTGAGCAGTCCTCCAATATGCCCTCCATTTGGCTTTCATCTTCCACAACTTGCTCAATAAATGAGCTAACCTGCAGAAGCAGATAAGTGAAGTTAATTATTAAAGCAAAAGCCCAGTATAAGTAGCGAATTGTTGGATTGAGAATGTTCCCCTTTTCGGAGGAAAAAAATGAAAAAAGACAAGGATGGAAAAAAGAACGATTGATTATCTTTAAGGAGGCAAAGCTTCTGTCTGTATTGCTGTCACCCAGTTAGGAGTAATAAACCCCTGGTAGTAACAAATTTGTCAAAAACAGGGTTCATTCTTTCATTATATTTCACTTCCCCATCTGTAATAGTGCAAAACGAAAGCCAGAAAATATTCGCAGTTCATTTTTAATGGAATAGAAGCAGCAGCGAACAGATTGCAATGTGGTGTACTCAATGGATAAGATGACAAGAAGAGGTACTGACCTGGAAGCCATCCCTTACTGTGTCAAGCTGCCTAATAGGTTCGGGCGTAGGGCGGTGCCATCGTTTTGGATCCCAAATGATGGTACTGTTGAAGGCAAACCCTGACATGTCAGCATGGAATCTCCGAAATCTCCTCCTTGAGTCATTCACATGCCATCCAATAACTTGACTTCCATTACAAATGGGGCCCTCTACAAAATCTTTGTTTTTGTTTCCTGTTAACTTGGCAACTGTCCACGTCCCAAACCGCCTGCAAGTAAAAAAGGGCATGCACTCTCATGACAATAGGTAGAGAACCAGAAAGTTATGTCATAAAATGCATATCTTTAAAGGGGTGATCCATCTAACATCAAACTGGTATAAAACCAAGAATAGATAAGCAAGTGATGTGAGTAAAGAACAGAGAGCTGGAAGTTATGCAAAGAAATGCAAATCCCTAGCCGGAAGATATCTGCAGCAGATACATAGCATTTATTAAAAAAAAAAAAATTGAATGCAGAGTAATCACTTATGAGAAATTGTAACCTAATACATATCAACAATCTCACAACATTCTCAGAACGACATTAGTTATATAAAAATACAAATATGCAATCTTTTCTTCCCATGTGAAATTTTCAAATATGAGTTCATATTCAACATTCTTTGTATTTCTTGGCTTTTCTATCCATTCTAACACCATAAACTACAGCAGGAACTCAGTCTATAGCAAAGAAAAAATATCCATCATCCATTATGTTATGATACATTGAAGTCCAGGATCTGGTGATGCATTTCCAATGCTACTGCTTTATTTCATTAGAGAGCTGAACAGCAAGAAACTGTATTCATAATTTCAAACATACTGTGAACTGTAAAGCTTGTGCAAAATTTCACGTAAGGTACAAAGTCACATAATAAAAATATAGCAGATTCCAAAGAGAAAACCAATAAAGAGTAGTTGTACAGGAATGGGGATGCAAAGTCTGCATAGACCGATAGTTACCTGATCTGCCTCATTTGCTCAAAAAGATCTGCAGAGTAAGTGTTATAATCATCTGCAAAATGGACTATTCCATCAAGGTGGTGGGTTTCAATGTGAGACAATGCCACATTCCTTTGGTGAACACTTCTGTCTTTTATATCAGTTAAATTTTTGTTGCAAACAAGATGCCTATACATAACCCCAGTCCTCCTCAGGATGTCAGCCGTATGATCAGATTGCAATGTCATTTCCACAACTATCCATAATAGAGGAGGTTGAACCAGTTTTAATGTGTGCGCCAAACGACTCAGATAATAGGCTTGAAGCGGTCGAGCATGAGTTGGGGTCACAATGATCAAGAGTTTCCGAGACACCAAATTCACATCTTCAGAGAGCGATAGGCTAATGGAGGTACCATTAGAATTCCCATCCCCTGACTCCTCTTCCTTCATTTGTGGCTCCATTGTGGTAGTGTTCTCAAGTCCTCCCCTTCCTGCTATTGTTGTTGCATTTCTTGTCATATCTTCATGCTTATCAAAATTCCCAACAGAAGATACCACCTCAAATGAAAACGCTTGGTGCTTTGACATAGGATTCGTTGATAAATTCATCGAGACAAATGGGGTTAGTCCAATAAAAACCCCAATCACAAAAGAAACCAAGAAATGGAAAAGGGCCCTCTTCCAAACTTGCCCCTTGGATTTTGACCTCTCCAATGGTCTCGAAGATCTTGGTGAAAAAAAACCATAAGCAGAAGCTTGAACGTCTGATAAACCAAAAATTGAAGATAGAAATCCACCAGAAGTTGGGTAGCTCTGAGAATACGACGATGAGGACTTGGACAAAGGAGAAGCCACCTGACAGGCTTCCCCATTTAATAAGGTTCCTGCTCTAGGCACAGGAGACAGTGTTCTCCTTATAGATGCCATCCAAACTAATCCACCGGAATATCACTAAACTCGAGATCCACCTCCTTAAAATTTCTAATCAATATTACAACTACAACAAAAAGGGCATTCAAATCCACTTAAAATCTCAATATCCTACCAACTAATCAGCATAAATATAAAGTTTCAAAGCCGATAAAGATGTTCTCTTTCATACACTCTCTTCAATATCTTAACAACTGCTTGGAACCCAAAATAGACCCTTGACTCGACACAGATGGCCAAGCAACAAATCCTGGATTGCCAAAATTTAAAACCTGTCTCCTATGTTGCAAACAGTTTATGGGGACCGAAGTTCATGTATAACTACCCCTTTAAGCAGAGCAAAGCAACTTTCTCTTGCAACCTCAAACAAAGTCATAAATAGCTAAACCAAACCCCAAAATGCAATTTCATAAGTCAGTGATCTATAGTGAGCTCCAAAACACAAATCTTCACCTAAACAAACCGTAAAACCAAAAACACTAGGTAAGTACATACCCTCAAAGGAAGGAGATCGATGCCCAAAATGCTTGGAAGTATCAGTGAAACGAAATGGAGCTTGAAATTACCCTACAATGGTAAATGGGTCCTGGGTCTTAGGAGCTAAAGACCACATTTTTTTCAAGATTCAACAAATACGCTGCTTTGGGTCTTGTTGAAAAGTTTCACTAGTTAAGTATATACATTACACACCCTCTAAAGTATTTGATGCTTTAAGGATCAAGAAATAGAAAGAGTGAACAGAGAAAGACTTGAACTTCGAAAATGGAATAGGAATCTGACTTAGACAAAGGAAGATAGAGAGAGAGAGAGAGAGAGAGAGAGAGAGAGAGAGAGAGAGAGAGAGAGAGGGAGAGAGAGTGATGTCATCCGATAGGAATACTTCACATCACATACTCTGTCTCTACCAATCATAATGATTCAGGCACAAGAAACTTTAGAATTGTTTTTCAATGCATTTGGGAACTGGTAATTATTGGAGTAATTAATAATTGACATTGTATATTTCTGGGAGTGATTAATGAGTGATTTATTATTAATTACACTTACGTATAGGTACCTCCTGAGGGGATTATAAATTTAGCGTAATGATTATAATGTCTACACCTGTTATAAAAAATTTAGTGTTAACTCAACTTTTTAACATACTTTTTAACATAATTCTTTTTTAACTCGGGTTAGTCTGTATTTTTAACTTAAGAGGTATTTAATGGGTATTTCTAATATTTTTATCATTTTATTTTAAAAATTAAATTACGATATGCTCGGTATTATTGGGGGAAACATTTTGTATGCATGAATCATGAATTTCCTTGCCATATCAAGTTAGATGCCACAAAAATTGTGTTTGCCTTTCCTAAAGTATTTGTTAGATTCTCTACAAATCAATAAATGTGAACTCCTTTTTATCCTCGTCACAATTAATAATATCATGGTTATAGTTATTTTGTAAAATATTTTTTATTTAAAAATATATTAAAATAATAATATTATTTTATTTTTAACATTAATACATTAAAAAAATCTAAAAATACTAAAAAATAATTTAAAGTTCAAAAAATTCAAAATTTTTCAAAAAAATAACCTAATTACACAAACAAACACTACCTTAATTATTTCGATCCTAATTAAGAATATTCATCTGGTTTAATAAATGCATAATCTCTTATATTTCTCAAAACATGTTTATTAAAATTAAATTATTGAATTCAAATTGAATAATTACAATTTAAGTTGTGATAAAAATAAAAATAACTTAGTTTTTTTATTGTATTTATTTTTCTTGTTTAATTTAATTTTTTTTATCAACAATAATAAATTCAAAATATGACAGAGGATTCAAATTCAGATTTTAACTTTTGAAAAAAAAATTATAAAGTCTATACAGGAGTCCGTTTAAATGGTTAAGTTTAGGTTTTCATGAAGTACAACAAATGCAATTCCATAAACAAGAAATTTAAATCTAATAGTATTTTGGGCAAAATGATGAATGGTAATGCAAAACTTGAAGGTTGAGGAGCTAATTGCTTTCATTTTGGGATAATTATAAAAAAACAAAAACAAAAAAAACCTCACATAGTTTACTTATTTTTTTCATTTTGTCTCACTTCTTTTTTGAAAATTGCACTTTACATTTTAGAGTTTATAATTTCTTAACATTTTACTTTCTCACTCTTGCACACCAAAAAATCAACAAAAATGTCAAATTATCTATAAAATTTTCATTATATTTCAATTAACAACTAAATAAGCTTTATAATAAATATTATAACTTTTTCATCAAATTAAAAAAATAAAAAGAGAGAACAAACCCTAACCATCATCCCCTTTGTGCAATTTGACCCATCATTTTTCACAACATCATAGGATTACAGGCATAACAAGTTAAATGTTTTTGTCTTTGTGCAATAGAACAAGAAGTCAGAACATTGTCAAGCAGCAAGTACGAATGCAGGGTTCAAAATCTAAGGCCAGTTCATTGCCTTGAAGAAGCGATTAAGAGCTTGTAAAACTATGATTAGATTAGAGGAAAAAATGAATTCTAGTTTTTAATCATGGGTTATTAGCTTATCTAATAGAATGTTCAAGGCTTGAGACTAGAAAACATATTCGAAGTACCCATGCCTCCATTGCCCATCTCCCTTTTGATTTGGGTTTGTTCACCACCCATCACCCCCACGCCTGAAGAACATATAACATCTCTACCACTACTCTTTTCACTAAAATACAGAGATGGACGTAATGCGTACAACTTGGTTTAGATACTCTATATAAATAAAAAAAAAATAAAAAAAAATATGGAGACAGAATCAAAAAAACAAAATTAAAAAGAGTTAAAATATTAGTTGTTTTATTATTTAGATTAAAAATACTAATATAAATATTATTAAGAAAGAAGCTGGAAAAAAAAAATTTGCAGGAGCCCCAACCCTACTAGCCCCCTGCCTCGGCCTCTGCTGAAATAAAAAAGCTACTTTCTCATTAACCCGAAAACCCAGCACAAAGTTGATGAAACCCACTTGCAAAAACCAAAACAAAAAAAAAAAGATAGAGACAAAAAGAGAATAAAACCAAAAAAAAAAAAAGATAGAGACAAAAAGAGAAAAGGAGAAAACAGATTTGAAAATCAATAACAAGGAAGATTAAAACTAGATAAATTAATGATATGGGTTTCTTGATTTTCTATGGTTTTATGAAATGGATTTGTTCGTTGCTGGGTGTTTGATTTTGGTTATGTTTGTTTGTATACTAGAGTAATTTAATTATTTTACCTAATGTAAAATTTTTAGATGATAAAGGATATAAATATAATTTTTAAGAGAATGAAGGCAAAGTGAAAAATAAATAAATTACAATAGGTTTTTGTAATTATTTCTTTTTCAAATCACAAATCCATGTGATAGAATCATCAAATTATATAAACCATTGATATTAAACTTGGCTTGCTCAGTAGTATAACCTGCTAATTCACTGATTTGGGACCTGTTTTAGGTCAAGTTTTAACCAGTTCAACTTTATTATTTTAGTAAAAATACATTTTGATTTTTAACTTTTTTCTTTAAAAAATCTTAAAATAATATTTTTTTGAATTGACTTGCCTAACCTTCTCATTGAATACCTGGTTTGCTAGAATAATATTTTATTTTATTTTTTAATTTTATCATTGAATACTTGGTTTACTAGAATCAAGCTTCATAATTTGCTTTAGTTTTTTTTTTTTAATTAGGTTATCCTAATCTTATGACTAATATCATATGTTTGACAAACTGATTTATTTTTATTTTTTAATTAATTTTTTTATATTTAAATATTTAATTGACTAGGAACTGAGCTCCATAGGTTTTTTCAACTTGCTTTCTTTAATATTATCCTCTTCTCATGATAAGGATCATAGGTTTTACGAGGTAACCCAGGTTGACTCAAGTTGTTTTTTATTTTTTTTATTGATTTAATTTTTTAATTCTATCCTAAAAATATTTGGTGAATTGGACTTCGATATTTATTTTATTATGTTTTCTCTAGGTTATTATGGTCTTATAATATAGGTTGTGGATTTGACAAGTTGACCTAAATCAATTTAATTTATTTTCTTTTTTATATTTTTTTAAGAAAGTTATTTTGATTTTCTTTAATCAAATTATGTTCTTATCAGTTGTCTGAGTTACCTTTAAACCTATCAAATCAACTAGGTTATATTAGATCAACCTCACATGTTTTTTTTTTAATTTATAATTTTCTAAAAAAATTTATTTAACTTGCAACATGGCATAGACAATGATCTAGTTATAAGAACTCTAAATGTTGTGGTGAAACCATTATAGACAATAACATTATGCATGCTCACATTTTATTGTCGACCAAGTGTGATAATTTTTTCTATTTTTTTTGTCATCAAACTTTTTTTTTATCTATTGTATTTTTTTGAGGATAAATTGAAGCCTGGTCAATTCAAATTTGTTAAACAATGACAGAATTGAAAGAAAATAAATTAAAGTGAAAAAGGAGGAGAAAAAATGTGGTAGTTTCAAAATTGAGTAAACAAATTTCATAGTCCACCTCCTTTTCAAATCACAAAATTTTAGCCCCTTAATATTTTAAGAATTCAATTTTGATTATAAGCTTAATTTTTTTTATTTTTTTAGCTTCTGGTTTAAGAAATGAGAGAGAAAATGGACGTATTCTAGTTATATATAAAAAAAAGTTTTAATTAACACTGATATCAATCATGAAAAATATTAATTTTCATATCAACAGATTCCATTCGATTAGAGTAATTTAGCCTTGGTGTTGTGTTCTTTGATTTTCATCTCTCTTGTGATATGGTAGATCTGAACTTTGAAAAAAAAATTATATAATTATTTTAGGTTTATTTTAGGTCTTTGAATGAATTTTTGGGTTATTTAAAGTCATATATAAGAATATCTAGATATTTAGAGTATTTTTTAGGTGTTTTAAATTATAATAAATTAAAAAAACAAGTTTTTAAACAAAAAAACTTAAGAATTGATTCTTTTTTTAGATTAACGTGGGTGTCTAGGCTAGTTTGCGCGCACCACGACTAATCCTACGAGCCTTGAAGTTAACGACTATGTAAGTCTTCAGTGGCCATCATATGAGCAACCAAGGATTCGAACATGAGACCACAGAGAAAGCAAACCTCTTAGTCCCAAGTCTTTACTACTTGGCCACCGCCTAGATGATTAACTTAAGAATTGATTCTTCATCAACCTTGTGATTGCTAAAAATTTAGCTAATAAAAATCACATTATACGTATTATTTTCTTTTTTGAATTAAATGGTGGACAAAGCGTTGTCTACCCTTAAATATTGTAAAAAAAAAAAGGCTCAGCACACGGGCCATCTTTTTCTTAATTTGCTTGGCATACAAGCCAAATCTGCGTGTTCTTATATATATTTCTTTATTTAACGTATTTTCAACACCTCTAGATTAGGAAAAAAATTATTTTATTCTCTATTTTTTAAAAAGGTTTCTTTTTTTAACTTGAAAAAAAAACCTTCCTTTTATAATTGAACTTTTTTAAAAAAATTAACAATTTTTTTAATTCTAATTCTATACGTTTGTTTATTAAAAAAAAATACAATGTTGTTTGATGTAAAAAAAAAAGATCTCATACAATTAGTTGGTGTATAATTAAATGAAAAATAATCTTAAAAATAAAGAGTTGTTAGATCCAATAGAATATATAATTCAGAGTATGAGTTTGACAAGTTAACCCGGGTTAATATAAATTTATTTTTTTATTTTTTAACTAAATATCTTTATTTTTAATATCATTCTTCAACATCAAGTTGATTGAAAATAAATATTTTAATTTATTTCAACTTGCTTTATGTGGGGATATCATTGTCTCATAACCTAGGTTATATTTAGCTAATTAACTTGAGTTTATCAAAGTTAATCCAATATATTATCATCTTAATAATTTTATAAAAAAATATCATCAAATATATTTCAAATTTAAATTCATCATAAGTTTTGTCTCTCTTATAAAACACATTGACAATGCCTTGAACTTATTTTTACTTAAAAAAAAAACAAATCCAACCTATTTTCTTTTACATGTTTTTAAAAATATTATTTAATTCAATATAAAAATTGATTCCAATAAAAAAAACTATCAAACACAACCAAGTTCATTGTTCATGTTGCAAGATCCTATATCTTGATATTTATTCCTATCTTAATTTTTTCAATTAGTCTTTAGTTTTTGTCATTGATTTTTTTTTTTGCATTTATTATCTCATACAATTCTTGATTTATTTAATTATATTAATTAAATTCATGTATAGTATTTTTAATTTTCAATTAGAATTTTTAGATGACAAAAAAAAATTATAAGCACTTACATATTTAATTTTTTTAGTTAAAAAAATTATTCAGGCTGAAGCACTAATAATATGGTTAGTACTATGCATACATGAGTTCCATGATAAATAACAAAAGGCTATATAAAGCGGGGAAAAAAATAGTGGTGGATTTATAGTTAGCTTACAAGTTTTTGTGTTTTGTTAATAACATTATAAACAATGTAATTATAAAATTTAAAAAGGACTTGATTTTCTAGATTATTGATTTTTTTTCATAAATTTTTATAAGTTAATCTAAGTTGATATTAATTTATACCTATCTTAGTTGACTATCCTAACTCATGGTTAGAGTCTTGTCTCGATTAATTTAAATCTAATTTTAAATTTATGATAATAATTATTTTTGTTTTTATCTTAATTCTCCTTGCTTAAAAATCCGACTTAGCCTTTAATTGATGCTTAGATCGGCTTCTAAAACTATGATAATAATAATTTTTTTATATATAAATCTATGTCAATAATCAACCCTACTTGTGATTTGGACCTTTCTCGAGTTGATTCTCGATTTAGGTTTTAAAATTATGACAATAACTAATTTTATTTTATACTAACTTGAATTCACCCAATTTATGACCTAAATCCTGTCTCGATTCTTAAATTAGATAGTAAAATTATAACAATAACTATTTTTATTTTTAAATATTTTAATTGAATAATTTTAAAATTAAAAAAAATATGAGAATATTTTAAAAATAAAAAATAAAAAATATTATTTCTAAAAATTTGTTATTCATGCCACTTCTATTTTGAAATTATACAAATTCAATTTAAAATTGGTAACAACATACACTATCTAAAAGATTTTTGAAAATATGTATGGCATTATTAATGATTTGGCATAATATTTAAAATTTAATAAATCAAATAAATAAAACAAATTTTTTATGTTATATTCAATTCCTCTTCTTTTTTCTTATATATATATAAATATTTATTTATTTAGAGGTATTTAAAAGTATAATTGTGAATGTTTTTTAAAATGATTTTTATTTAAAAAATTATTATTTTAAAATAAAAAATAAAATAAAAAATAATTTAACATGCTCAAAATAATCACCGTATCAAAATAATTTAAAATATTTAAAAAATATTAATTTAAAATAAAAAATAAAAAAATTAATTTTTTATAAATACCCTTTTAAATCACAAAAATAAACTGTGTAGTCATCAATAGCATGCCGGCCTTAAATTTAACACGCTCCTTACAAAACCAAAAAAGCTCGTCTCCTCCTCAGATCTGTCTGTCTCTCTTGTTACTCTCCCTCTAAAAAAATAAAAAAACGGAGAGAAGAGTAACAAATCGCTATACTTAATTTCGCCATCGCCATGGCCATGGCGATTAGGTCTTTGCTTATCTTTTTATTTATTCTATCACTTACTGTCCCTACCTTTTCTCTTCATGAAGATCAAGTTGGTCTCATGGACTGGTAAGCTCCTTTCAATCGCTTCTATTTCTTTTCAACTTCCAATTCACTGAATCCAAACAAAGCTGATTGTATTTTTTTTAATCACTAGCTGATTAATACGGTAGCTGCTTATTAATTTCCGGGTTAATTAATTTTTTTTGATTTAGTATTAAGTTTGATTAAATGGTTACTAATGTATATAGGCATCAAAAGTACATAGGGAAAGTGAAACACGCTGTGTTCCAAACACAAAAAACGGGTCGAAAGCGTGTTCTTGTTTCTACTGAAGAGAATGCTATTGCTTCTCTTGATCTCCGGCATGGCGAGATTTGTAAGTTTCGTTTAATGGATTTGTCCAATGCATTCTTTAATGTTAAGTTTCGCTGCTGGAGTATTTTTTCTATTTAATTGTTATTACTATTATTACTTGAAGGGATGCTGATTAGTGTTTTTTTTGGCAGTTTGGAGGCATGTTCTTGGGGCCAATGATGCTATCGATGGAATCGACATTGCCATGACAAAATGTAATGATGCTCGTTTTTCTTATCAACATTGTTGTATTTGTTCTTGCCGCTGTGGAATTGATAAGAAAAACGATGTAGCTTTCATCATTCTGCGTGTCTTACTAAAGGAAAGAATCGTTAAGACTGCTTCAATATTTTTTTTTTGTGTGTGTGTATAAAGGACTTGAGAGAACATAAATAAATAAAATTGGAATACATAACACTGGTTTGTATTGCCTGCTTATTTAGAATGAATTTGGTGTACCAATTCAAGGCTAAAGAATTCAAGTTTTGTAGTCATGCTGGTTTTCTAATCTTCGATTTCAATCTTTCAGATGCTATTACCCTTTCATCAGGAGGAAGCATTCTACGAGCATGGAATCTTCCTGATGGGCAGATGGTGTGGGAATCTTTTCTTCAGGGACCAATCGACTCTAAGTCATTCTTGTTTGTGTCGGTTAGTGGATAACTTGTTAGATATATTTGAAGCTTCTAATGAACATTGTTGTATTATCTAGTCCAATCTTCTAGTCTCTCTCCTGTATCAGCTGTGTTTAGTAATTCTTTGTTAATCTAGAGTATGAGGCCTTCGTGCTGAATCTAATTCTTTTCTATTCCTCTTACCTTCACATACATTTCAGGTCATTGTGAAATCAGAAATTTTCATCCACAGTATCATAGTTTAGTTCCTCTATTGAAGTGTTATTTTGTGTCTGTAATGGTCATAACTCATAATTCACAATTTCTTCCCAATTCTCCTATCATTCTTCCAAACATGCCCTTGCATGTTATGCACTCAACATTTTCAGAAGAACTGTTGTTAACTAAGTTTTTGATCTGCAGGCAAGCTCGAAAGTTGACAAGGAAAACACAATCCTTGTTTTTGGTAAAGGAAGTCTCCATGCTGTTTCAAGCATACATGGTGAAATTGTTTGGAAGATAGATTTTCCTTCTGAATGGTCTGTCCTTTTGAATTTTACTCACCAACTTTCTCTTTTTAACCCGTCTCCTTGCAATTGATGTGATTGTGATACCCTTGGTTGCAGTTTTGAGGTTCAGGAAGTAATTCAGCACTATGATGGCAATACGATATACGTGGTGGGATTTGTTGGTTCTTCCCAGTTTGATGTATACCAAATCAATGCTAAGAATGGAGAGCTCCTAAAACATGACAGTGCAGCCTTTGATGGTGGGTTTTCAGGGGAAGTTTCTCTAGTTTCAAGAGCCAAACTTGTGGTGCTGGATGCTGCTAGGTCAGCTTTGTTAACAATAAGTTTTCAGAGCGGAGAAATCAGCTTTCAGAAAACATACATCTCAGATCTAGTTGAGGATTTCTCGGGGATTGCAGTGATATTACCTTCAAAACTTACTGGTTTGTTTGCTGTGAAAACCAATACAGCTACAGCATTTATTAGTGTGTCAAGTGAAGGTAAGTTGGAGGTGGTTGACAAAATCAAGCATGCAACAGTTATTAGTAATGTTCTTTCAATCTCAGAGGACCAACAGGCGTTTGCACTGGTTCGGCATGGCAGCAATGACATTCACTTTAATGTGAAGCAAGTTCATGACTGGAACAGTGATTTGCTAAAAGAGAGAATCAAGCTGGACCAGCAAAGAGGGCTTGTCCATAAGGTTTTCATTAACAATTATGTCCGGACTGATAAGTCTCATGGATTTAGGGCTTTGATTGTTATGGAAGATCATTCATTGTTGCTGTTACAACAAGGCGAGGTTGTCTGGAGTAGGGAGGATGGCCTTGCCTCAATAATAGGTGTTACCACATCAGAACTTCCTGTGGAAAGGGAAGGTGTATCTGTAGCAAAAGTGGAGCAGAACCTCTTCGAATGGCTTAAGGTACAATCTAATTGTTTCTTTACAATTTAAGTTGGCTTACTGAAGATGAAAGTTGCCAAAAAATCACTCTTTCAAGACTTGAACAAGATTCTGGTTATTTTCACAGGGTTTTTTATACTTTTTTTCTCCTTCCCTAGTCTCCATCTTTTTTAAACTTTACTTAGTAGTAGAGTGAGGGATCTGAATTATTGTGAGATTGCATTTGATTTGGTTGTATAGGCGATGATTGTTTGCTATCATATTCACTCCTTTGTTTGAAAAAAACATCTCATTGACTTCTTCGAGGACTGTGATTTTGACTCATGATATTTTGTTGTTCTAAGGGACACATGCTGAAGGTTAAGGGTACATTGATGCTTGCAAGTGCTGAGGATGTAGCAGCCATTCAAGGCATGAGGTTGAAAAGCTCTGAGAAAAGTAAAATGATCAGGGACCATAATGGATTCCGAAAGCTGCTCATTGTTCTCACTAAATCTGGGAAACTTTTTGCCTTGCACACTGGAGATGGACGAATTGTCTGGTCTCTCTTATTGAACTCTCTACGTCAAACAGAAGCATGCGAAAATCCAACTGGGATTAATGTTTACCAGTGGCAAGTTCCTCATCATCATGCTATGGATGAAAATCCATCTGTCCTGGTTGTTGGCAGGTGCAGAACTGGTACTGATGCACCTGGAATATTTTCCTTTGTTGATACTTACACAGGGAAGGAACTTAAGTCTTTTGGTCTTGATCATTCTGTTGCACAAGTAATTCCACTCCCGCTTACAGATGCAACTGAACAACGGCTGCATCTACTAATAGATGCTAATGGACAAGTGCATTTGTACCCAAGAGCACCTGAGGCTGCTGCCATTTTTCAACATGAGTTTTCAAACATTTACTGGTACTCGGTAGAAGCTGACAAGGGTGTTATTAAGGGACATGGATTGAAGAGCAATTGTGATGGTGAAGTTGCAGACAACTATAGTTTTGGTACCAGAGAAATATGGTCCATTGTTTTCCCCTCAGAATCAGAAAAGATCATTTCAACTGTAACAAGAAAATCAAATGAGGTAATGTTAGTTTCTGGTCAAATTTTTTTCATGATTGCCACTTCTTTCTGTCTTCAAAGATTTATCCACTTTACATTTCATTAACTGCTCTTGCTGGTTAGTCTTTAAGTAACTTTCTGGTTGGGATTACAGAAAACCTTTTAAACTAGGCAAACAGGCATCGTTTTCAAAAATGACATTAGAGTTGTTCCATGAGGATGTGCATTTTTTTTACTAAATAAATGTTGGGATTAGGTTCAATAAACAAATTCTTTTTTCTCAGGCTTTGAATTACATGCATTGTTTTTCAGGCAACCTTGATGCTTTTTTAGGGTCTAAAAAAATCACAGTTTCTGTAGATTCTTCTTGTTTCTTTACAGAACCTCAATTTTTACCATTCAGTTTTGTTTTGCTGAAGGTTCCAATAGAAACTTTAGATATAAACTCAATAGGATATCTTGGTTTGCTGACATGTTCCCTTGGTATGTTTAATTGAGGGTCTTCTGCATTTGCCTCCAGGTTGTTCATACTCAAGCAAAGGTTATAGCTGATCAAGATGTGATGTACAAGTATATATCAAAAAATTTGCTTTATGTGGCCACTGTTTCACCAAAAGCCAGTGGAGATATTGGATCAGCCACACCAGGAGAATCACAGTTGGTTGTCTATGTTGTTGATACCGTCACTGGTCGTATATTACACCGAATGACTCATCATGGCTCACAGGGTCCTGTCCATGCAGTAGGTTTCGCCTTCCATTTTTGATGTCCTCAATGATATGCATTACCTTATTTATTGTCACTTTTTGCAGGTTTTTAGTGAAAACTGGATTGTCTACCACTACTTCAATCTCAGAGCGCACAGATATGAGATGACAGTTATTGAAATTTATGATCAGTCCCGGGCAGTAAGTTTTCAATCTTTACAATTATGCAATATTGTTTGTCTTCTTATTATAAACAGTTTAACTTTTGCAAATTGAAATTCAGGACAACAAAGATGTTTTAAAGCTTGTTCTTGGAAAGCACAATCTCAGTTCACCTATTTCTTCGTATTCACGATCAGAGGTCACAACAAAGTCACAGTCTTACTATTTCACCCATTCTATCAAAGCAATAACAGTTACATCAACTGCTAAGGGTATCACTTCAAAGCATCTTCTTATTGGGACAATTGGTGATCAGGTTGGTTACAATCTTTTAAGAAACCTAGATTCCATTTTTGTTCCCGATTTTCTTTGGGGCAAACTAGTCATTTAATGATTTACATTTCCTGCTGTAAAGAAGGATGTATTTACTGAAAGTAATGGAATGCTGTACAGGTATTGGCAATGGATAAGCGTTTCTTTGACCCTCGTAGGTCAGTTAACCCCACACAATCAGAGAAGGAAGAAGGAATTTTACCTCTTACAGATTCATTGCCTATCATTCCTCAGGTGAGTTGCCGTATATCTTCTTCTCTTCCTTTTCCCCTTTAGTCTTTGTGTCACTGTTTAATGTTTACTTTCCTTGAGGGAAAACTGTTGATTTTTGCTGAGTCCACCTTCCCTGGAAGCGGTTCATTTCTGTACAAAATAAAAAATTAGTTGTAAGATGCAGTATAGAAATCGATTCCACATCAATTAATCTACCTTCCCTGGAAGTGGTTCATTTCCCTTAAGTCTTTGTGTGACTGTTTAATATTTTTAATTTCCTTGAGAGAACACTGTCGATTTTTGCTGAATCTACCTTCCCTGGAAGTGGTTCATTTCTGTACACAAAAAAACAAGCTGTAAGATGCAGTATTTAAATCGATTCCACATCAATTAATCTAGAGCTTGGAGTGATCCATGGATGGATCCTGTCTTGTTTTCCTCCAACAATCTTGTACCCAAAATGTTTTTGTTTTTTCCTTCAAGATTTTGGTTTGGAGAACAATGGCACCTGATATATTTTATACAATACGGAGCTGCAAGTAAATTACTTTGAAGTAATCCATATAAGTGGAAGTAATTGCAGTCTTGGATTGTGAGTGCATGCGTGAAGGTTTTTCCTTGGGGATCTCGTCAACCTATCTTATAACTAATTTATAGCGTGCAACCATATATACAACAAAGCTTGTTAAGCACATGCTAGTGTTCATTCCAGAGCAGGGATTGTAGGATGGCAGAATCTGGAATACTCTTGACTTTTAGCAGAGTGACTGCTCTTCGCAATCAAAACATTGAACTTCGCAGACAGACATTCGTACAAAAACAAACCCACATCTCCCTCGGGACTGTTTCATTCTTTATGGCCGCATGCTTTTGTTTGATGTTTTCTTTTATTTTAATGAAGTTAGTTCTCAAGCTGACACGGATTATCACTTCTTGCAGTCATATGTTACACACTCCCATAAAGTGGAGGGGCTACGAGGCATAGTAACAGTGCCGGCCAAGCTGGAGTCAAACACCCTTGTCTTTACATATGGTGTTGATCTCTTTTTTACTCGCCTTGCACCCTCAAGGACCTATGATTCTCTTACAGAGGATTTTAGCTATGCCCTGCTGCTCATAACCATTGTTGCACTTGTCGTGGCAATCTTCGTGACCTGGGTCCTGTCCAAGAAGAAAGATCTAAGTGATAAATGGAGGTGAAATCGTTTCTCCTCTAGTCTGTCTGTACCCAGACAATTTTCTTTCTTATTTATTTTACACCTGAGTTACTTTCACTGGAATCAGATTTGTAGATTCACTCCGAACTTGTAATGTTAATTTTGTAGCTTTTCCTTTTTCAATGGCGTTTTTTGTACTTGCCATTATTACATTTTTGGTCATCATGTAAATTAGACATTGCTAAGTCAAGGGAATTGATATATTTGCTGTTCTCTATACATGCCGGGTCCGTTCTTGTTATCTGAAGCAATTTTTCTGAGGGAAATGCCAAATGGCCAGAAAAAAGTTTTGAGGGCTGTGAAAGAGAAAGCTGGTAAAGTGGTCATTTAAGAATGGGGCCGAAATTTGACTGTTTCTTGTTAACAATTCTGGTTTCTGAAACTGGAATAGGGAGCTGGGCCATGGTTTTTTGTAGGTTTTTTCGAGTCATCCAAACCTAGCTAGAGAAGCCATTATTGAAGCCCACAGAGCTTGAAAGGTTGGTGTTCGGAGAGTTGGAATCTTCACCAATGCCATCATTCGGAAGGTGAAAGGACCCATTGATTGGTAATTTGATTGTCACTATAATTGTACTATCTCTTTCGTTTCGTATTAGTTATCGAGGGAGGGATAAAAAAAATCTTACATGCTCACCACTGACCGCAACTTTTTCTTCCGTCATGAGATGGAATCCTTCCAGAGGAGGAGGAGAGTGTGAATAGTAAATACAGTTCCTGTGTAGGGCACACAAGATTGATAGAAGTGGAGAGCGAGCGCCTCTTTAACGAGCCTTCTCCACCTGAAGTTTGCAAGATTTACCTTTTACTTGGGATGAAAATGACAGGCACTGTCACTGTAATTCGCCTGATCTTTTTGGAGTCTTTGTCCCATTCATCTCCCAGTCAAGGACACTCTCGTGAGCATCTCTGCACCGTTTCACTGTCCAACGTGATCAGCTCCATAACCCTCTTCCCTCTCTCTTCCATAATTGAGAACTCTTTAACTGCCACAAAAAAGCATCTAAGAAGCTTGACACAGCACAACTTTCTTCAAGAAGAGAACAGACTCTCAATCTCTCTTAGGTTTGTTTCTCCACAGAAACAGCTTACTACAAGGCCTTACACTTGCACCATGAAAACCCACCATCCAAAACTCAAAACACAGCCACGTCCACTCTTCTCTTGTAGTTTCTTTCGCCAATGCACAGAAACTACTTTAAGTCCCACCACACCCAACCCACCTGCTCTTCCTATCTCCTCCACTATTCCTACTCCAGCACCACCACCACAAACAGCAGCAGCACCAACTCCAGCACCACCACCACCACAACAACAATTACCTAACCAACCCCACCAAAAGTCCACCCAAGCTGAATCCTCTTCCTCCTCCTCCTCCACTACCACCTCCCAAAGTTTCACTCAATGGAGATTCCCTCTCTCGAACTCCCCACTCCACCAACCCAGACCCGAATCCGAACCGAATCAAGACTCCGCCTTTATACCACCGTTGGCTCCTCCCATGCACCCCAACGACCTGCAAGAACTCCTCCGCCTGGCTGAACTGCAACTTACCAACGGCTCAGAAACTGAGCAACTTTCTGCTCTATATCTCTTAGAACGCTCACTCGTACCCGACCCACCATCCGACCCGGTTTGCTCACTCGAATTAATGCGCGGGGTGGTGGCAAATTTGAAAAACAAAGCAGGGTTAAAACCGGCAACAAAAGTCTTATTAGCACTTTGCTTGGCGGAGGCCAACCGCCACGTTGCGGTGGAAGCTGGGGCGGTCGGGACGGTGGTGGAAGTGGCGATGGAGCTCGACGGAGCTCCGGCGGAGAGGGCATTGGCGGCGTTGGAGCTGACTTGTACGGTGGCTGAGGGGGCGGCAGAGCTCCGGAACCACGCACTGGCGGTGCCGGTAATGGTGACAATGATGGGTAAAATGGCTGGAAGGGGTAAAGAGTATGCGATAAGTGCTCTCGCGGTGATTTATGGGGGTGGCGGAGTTGAGTCAGATGGTGAGCAAACTCTTCATGCCCCGCCAGAGGAGGTGGCGCGTGCAGTGGCGTTGGCTTTACGGGGAGACTGTACTGCTAGAGGGAGGAGGAAGGGGGCCCAGCTCTTGAAGGCTCTTCAAGAATATGGACGGGTAGATTCAACTCAAGAGGGGAATGAACAGCCGTGATTTCATTTTGATTTGTATGTCATGAAGAGAGAGGGAAATGATACTTTAGAATATTATTAGCCCATGTACATGTAGAGCTTATTAATAATAATAATAATTTTTTCATTTTAACTTATTATTACGACCTTTTCTAATAACAACAGTTGTGTTGTTTAGTCATTATTATTGTTTTTTAATTTGAGAACAAATTTAAGAAAAACTTTTTGCAAACTTTTTCGGAAATTCATAAATTTAGTGAGGTCAATTTGTTTTAATCTTCATACATAAAACTAGTTATTATTTATTTAAAAAAAGTAGTATAGATGGTCGCTCATCAATGAATAAAAAAGAATAATCATTTGATGAGGAAATTATATATGATAGATTTTTTTTCAAAAACTATTTTTTTCATTAAAATAAAAAGAATCAAGTCTAATTGAAATACCTTATATACAATTAAAAATTTGTATGATAATTAGTAATAATTATTTTTTAAAGTATTTTTTATTTAAAAATATATTAAAATAATTTTTTTTATAAATTATTTTGACATCAGTATATTAAAATGATTTTAAAATATAAAGAAAAAATTTAAAATAAATAAATAAATATATTTTTAAAAAATAAAAATAAACAGAATTGAAGCTTAAAATAAGAAATACAACAATATACATAAACTCAAAGTAAATTAAAGAAAAAAACACCTTAAGACACCAAGGTCCATTGTTTTACCTTCCATGACCTTCAGCAGTAGGCTGTGATGATGAAGGAGTGGAATATCTTTTGTATTTGGATATTTTTTAAATATATTTAAAATTAATTTTTTAATGTTTTTTATATAATTTTGATATGTTGGTATAAAAAATAAAAACTATAAAAAAATTAATTTAAAATAAAAAACTTTTAAAAAGCAGCTTATTACTAATAAAGAATGATTAAAAAAAACTTTTTAAAAGCAGCTTATTACTAATAAAGAATGATAATATTATACTATGATTAGTTTGTCCCATGTAATTATTAGTTTATATAATTTAAGAATAATTAAAAATCCTCAAATAAAAGAAAAAATTAGATTGCTTTAGGAGGAAAATGTATTGCATGAGTGACCATGACTAATTTCAAATAATTATATGTCCTCCATGCCATTAGACATTCATATCTATTCAAGATTAGGTTAAAAATATAACTTAGCATGTACAGAACTTGCATGTCAGGGATGAGCGATGAGGTGGGCCCTGTAATAATTGTGTGACTTAGATTTAGTGTTTATCTAAAAATAAAACCTGACTTATTAAATTATATCATAAGATAGATCAGATTTATTAATTTTATTTAAAATAATATTGTTTTATATATATTTTTTTAAAATCCCAGGTCAGCATAATCACACAGGTGAATTTACTGAATTACTAAATTCAATGGATTCAAATTAAAAATTAACCTAACCTTGATTAGGTTTTAGATTGTGGATCGTATATTCTGCAAGGGACGAGATTTCTCTTTTATGTTAGTTCTTAGAGCAATATGAATAAAATCATAGACTAATTCAATTTATAGTTCATTGTATTTTCCAAACAGTCAAATGCCTGGATAATTAAGTTTAATTGCAAGGAGGATTATACTCTTCTCAAGCTAATGCTAATTAATGTGATGTATATTATGCTAGTTTAATCTTAACATTTAAATTAAATGAAGTGCTAGGGGATTATTCTGAAATCTTCTCTTGAATAAATCTACTTCTTTTCATATTTCAAATTTAACCAAATATTGCCTCTGCATTATATATATATATTATGAACTTGAATTTCTTGATTTGGTTCCAAATAAATTCAATAAAATTACGACCATGTTATATAAAAAAAAGTCAAGTAATCAATCAAAATAAAACTAAAATACAAATTTAATTAAATTTTAATTAATTTAAACTGTCAAGCTTTTGGTGTGCAAACCTACAATTTAATAAGATAAAGATAATAAATTCTTTTTATTAGAAAGCTTTAAAAAATCGTTTCGAACCATTTCAAGTCCTCTCTTTCATTACTGATAAATCTAAGAAGTTGATCCCTGCAATCAGTGGAATGCCATTTTCTGGGTTTTCTCATGGTGGATTAGGGAATCCGAGCTGGATTTGAACCAGCGCAGGTATATTGCCAATGAATTTACAGTTCGTCCACATGCTCGGGCATCGACCCAGGAAGAAGAGATTCCAGACTGATAAAGAATCAATCATTCCTGATCAATTTCCTTTCGTAATACCCCCAGGGTCCTCGCTTACTCCTTGAAAGAGAGATTGTAATTTTTGCATCAATAATATGAATCTTTTTTTTTAAAATAAATAAAATTGCGAGAGATTATATAAAAAAAAATAAATAAAATTGCGAGAGATTATATAAATTCGGAATGTTTCTAAAGATGCATATTGAGTTAGATTTAAAGTGAAAAGATTTTCATTTATCATAAATGTTATGTGATTACATTAGGTAACTTTATTATTATTGCTAATGTCAATAAATATATGAAATAATCGTAGCCATCTTTCAGAATTTAAAAGATCAAGATCCAACTAACATGTCAATAAATGTTATGTGTTTGTTTACTGTAGAAAAACCTCTAGAAAATATTTTTGCAAGTGAAATTTTTTTCTTTTAAAACAAACGTTGTACTCTAATAAATGGTGTCTGTATTACCTAGTGCTAGGATATATTTATGCTCTTATGTATATATATAACTTAAGTTATTTGGATCAGCTTACCGATATTATGATTAATTTTTAAATTTATAAAATATAAATAAATAAAATACTGAAAATAATAAAAATACCTAAAAAAAATCAAACCCAAATATATATATAAAAAAATAATTCCCTTTCCTCCCTAAATCATGATCTCAAGTACATAATGTAAGAAAATATCTAGAAAATATTTTTTCAAGTGAAATTTTTTTCTTTTGAAACAAACATTGTGTTCTAATAAATGGTGTCTGGCTTACCTAGTGCTAGGATATATTCATGCTCTTTTATATATATATATATATATATATATATAACTTTAGTTATTTCGATCGGTTTACATATATCATGATTACCTTTTGAATTTATTTAATACTCTCAAATTTACTAAACAAATAAAACACTAAAAATACATAAAAAAATCAAACTTAAATGTAAAAAAAATAAAATAATTCCCTCTCCTCCCTAAATCATGATCTCAAGTACATACTTATGCTTTATGCTTTTTTCTTGACGAGTCTTATGTTATTTTTTTCCCCCAACTTTTTTGTAACTGTAATGTTGTTCTCTCTTTAATCATTGGTTTCTTTTTGCCTCATGGTGTTTTTTTTATTTAATTATTCAATCACTGCTTATCAAAAAAAAAAAAAAAAAAACAGTTAACCTCTTCAGCAAATTAAGTGTCCTCATTTTCATTGGATGTTTAACTTATGCAACCAGTTAACATGCAATTAATCATGAGATAACCTAGACCTACTGTTAATTAGAGCTTGAGTTTCTAATTTGAAGATTTTAGGCCTCAATCTGTTGTAAGTAGTCACAGGAATGGGAAAGACTTGCTGATCAGATATTATTATGTCGTTTAGGATATATTTTTTTTTCATAATAAGAAACGAAGCTAGAGCCAATATTAGAGGTTAAATTGCTTAAAAAAGAAAATACAAAGAAAAAAAACAAAAAAATAAATAAAAGATTACAAGAAAAAAAAAAAACCAAACAATCCTTGTGAGCCCACGAACATTGTTCTGTATTTGGAATGCCATAGAACACTCTCTCCGTACCCAAACAAATCCAAATCTGTGCATTTGTTTAGGATTAATCTTTTTCAATCAAGTTTAAAAATGTTTATCTAAAAGAGATTCAAGGGATGTTCGATAGTGAGTTTTAACTTGTTTTTATTAAAATTTAAATTTATTTTATTTTTAATCAATATTTTTATATTGTTTTGATGTATTGATATTAAAAATAAAAAATATTATTTTAATATTTTTTAAACTACAAAACACTTTAAAAAACAATTACTAATCCACTAATAAATGCCATGCCTTCTTTTTTTAATCTTAGTATACAAAAGTGATATGATGCAATGATCACTGAAGTGGCTAAAACATTAACAATTAATTAATGACCAGATTGCTATTGCATGGGACTTAGCATATATAACTCTAAAAAATTCCGATCAATATTATTGTTAACAGTACTAAAAGAAATCAAAGTTTGAAAAGTTTCAAGAACTGCTTCATACAAATTAGGGCAAGCTCGCCCTAGGAATCCTGCTAGGCATAATTGACGACTCTTTGTTTACTATTACCTGCAAGGCTCCTGAAGATTTTCCAGTAAATGGAAGGTCTAACGATGCATAATAAACAACCCACAGCAGCCAAGCTCCCAAATCGTGAATCAAATCATGCTCTTGCAGAAATGATTAATGATTCTGCTAATTTTAAAATTTGAGTCTATTAATGTCTTGATTATCTCAATCTATTTCTATTCATCATCGCGAAACCCCACAACGTTGGACTTTAGAGTTAATATTTTTCTTAGAGTTAATATTGTAAAACTATTATAAATGGAAAAAAAACTGCACTTGAAATTGAGTTCATTCTTTATTTTTTAACAAAACACGAATTAAATATGCCAAAGTTACCAACAAGAAACTCATATGACAATAGTTTATATATACATATATATAGTATAAATTAAAATAGGAATATTATATAAATATAATAAAAAACTTCAACCACCAAAAGTTATAGATGGAGTGGTAAGATGAGTATTTCCGACTCATCAGGTCGAATTTAATTTACACTCTTAGAAAGCTCCTCTCTCCTTTGTGTGGTAATGGGCATGGGCTACCTGTTGGTTGAACGAATCTAGCTTACTTTTTTTGTGTCCAGCAATATTTTAAAAATATACTTGTTTAAAAAAATATTAAATTATTATTTATTTTAATATTCTTAATTATTTTGATGTGTGGATATTAAAAATAAAAAATTTAAAAAATAAATATTTTAGTATATTCCAGAATAAAAAAATATTTATCAAACACGTTTGGAATCAAGATTATTCTTGACCGGACGCAGACCTGGATAATAATAAACATTAATAATAAGAAAATTAAGAT